TCCATGTCATTGTCGTAATTAATAAACAGTTGTAACGAAGCGGGGTTTGAGAAGTTGTCCTTAAGAACGTAATAGATGTATATTGACGTATAAGATAAGTGTATTGGCACAGTAAAGTACCTAACTCGGCCACGCTACCACAATGTTCCACTCTTTTACATTCTCTTACTATCAATATTCTACCTACATGTAATCTTCTTGTGAGTTTGTCTCATTATACATATGTCGAGTTTCATGTGTTGGGCATCATGTGTCGAGTGTCATGTGTCAGGTGTCATGTGTCAGGTGTTTTGTGTCGGGTGTTATGTGTCGGGTGTTATGTGTCAAATGTCAGGTGTCGTGTGTCGAATGTCATGTGTCGAGTGTCATGTGTCAAGTGTCAGGTGTCATGTGTCAAGTGTAGGGTGTCAGAATCAAGTGTGGGGTGTCAACAGGTAGTAGGCAGCTACCAAACAGGGAGGTACTACCGCCTGGGAAGATATTGGAAGCATAATGTGTTGTCTAATGGTAGACCCTGTTGCCATATGTGACTAAGTCCCAGGTTACTGATCTGACTTTCTGCCTCATTTACACACAATTGCAGGGTCTCAATTGTTTCTCTTACCATTGACAACACAACATACATACCTGTATATTGTTTATCACTTTTGATCTTTTTTTTATTTTTTTATTTTTTTTATTATTATTAATACAGTGTTGTTATTATTATTAGATTTATTATACTATTTTAAATTTTGTATTTTTTATTATAAATTTTATTTACTATGAATTATTTTTAACATTATTATTATTATTATTACTACACCCCCCAGGCCCCGATGTGGGTCAGTGACCTGTGCCCGGGTGGGCTAATCCCCGAAAAAAAAATTTTAATTGTCGGGTGTCATATATCAAGTGTGAGGTGTCAAGTGTAGGACGCCAGATGTCAAGTGTCGGGTGTCAGATATCGAGTGTCGGGTGTCAGATGTCAAGTGTTGGGTGTCATGTGTCAAACTAGTATAATTAAACCAAAATTAACCAACCTAACCTAAACCTAACCTAAACAAACCATAACCAAAACCTAACCACACCATAACCGAACCATAACCTAGCCAAACCATAACCTAATCAAACCTTACCTAACCAAACCATACCATAACCTAACCATTAACTAAACATAACCTAACCAAACCATAACCTAACCAAACCATAACCTAACCAAACCATAAACCTAACCAAACCATAACCTAACCAAACCTTACATAACCAAACCATACCATAACCTAACCAAACCATAACCTAACGAAACCTTACATAACCAAACCAAACCATAAACTAACCAAACCATTACCTAACCGAACCATAACCTAACCAAACCATAACCTAACCGCACCATAACCTAACCAAACCATAACCAAACCTAACCAAACCATAACCTAACCAAACCATAACCCAACCAAACCATAACCATCCTAACCAACCGAACCATAACCTAACCAAACCATAACCTAACCAAACCATAACAAACTAAACCATAACCCAACCAACCATAACCCAACCAAACCATAAACCTAACCAAACCATAAAACCTAACCAAACCATAACCTAACCAAACCATAACCTAACCAAACCATAACCCAACCAAACCATAAACCTAACCAAACCATAACCTAACCAAATCATAACCGAACCAAACCTTGCCTAACCTAACCATACCATAACCTAACCAAACCATAGCCTAACCAAACCATAACCTAACCAAACCATAAACCTAACCAAACCATAACATAACCAAACAATTACCTAACCAAACCAAAACATAACCAATCCATAACCTAATCCAAACAACCTAACCAAATCTAATAACCAAACCATAACCTAACCAAACCATAACCTAACCAAACAATTACCTAACCAAACCAAAACATAACCTAACCAATCCATAACCTAATCCAAACAACCTAACCAAATCTAACAACCAAACCATAACATAACCTAACCAAACCATAACCTAACCTAACCATAACCTAACCAAACCATAACCTAACCAAACCATAACCTAACCAAACCATAACCTAACCAAACCATAACCTAACCAAACCATAACCTAACCAAACCATAACCTAACCTAACCAAACCTAAGCTAACCGTAACCTAAACTAAATTTATATCTAACCTAACCTAACCATCCACAACATTGCTAAAGCTGCCTTCCGAAAGCTGGGAATGCTGTACAGATGCCGTAGCTACTTCACTCCTGAGCAGTTGCTTCAAGTATATAAAGGATTCAATCGTCCTAACTTGGAGTACTGCTCTCATATCTGGGGTGGCTCTTCTTCTGTCCAACTGTTAGATAGGGTGGATTCAAAGGCATTTCTTCTTATTAACTCTCCTCCTTTAGTTGATAATCTTTCTTCCCTTTCTTTTCACTGCAATGTTGCTTCATTCTCTCTCTTTTACAGGTACTTTAACGGGCAATGTTCGGTGGATTTGGCATCCTGTGTACCGCCGGCAAGGCCGTGGGCTCGTAACACTTGTCTTGCCCGCGGTGCCCACCGTTTCTCTGTGGATGTCGGTCACTCTGCCTTCCTCTGTGTTTCCATACTCATACAATCTGTCTCGCATGAAAACGTTGGTTTTCCGGCATCTTCGTGGTGTAGATCAATATAATGTTTTTCTCTTCAAATTTTAATTTATTTTTACTTATCCCCCCCCCCAGGCCCCGTTGTGGATTGAAGACCTCTATGCCCGGCTAGGCCATTCCCTGTAAAAAAAAACCCTAGTCTGACCATAACCTAACCTAACCATAAGCTAACCTAAACTTATACCTAACGAAACCATAACCTAGCAGGTAAAATTATCGTTTTAGTCATCCAGCAATTTTAACTATTTGAATCAATAGTTTAGACAATTCTAAGACACTTTTCTCCTGAATCGTTTCCGTTGAAAATTTATATGTTTCGAGTATTTTAACTGATAAAATTACCAACAATATTACTTGTTTAGTAAAGTAGAGGGAAAATGTGTAGGAAAATCCTAAAAAAAATAAAAACACTAAACAAACTTTTGAAAACTTGACCTAATGTTTCCTAAACTTTAAAAAGTTTACCTTATTCATATTTTCTGTTTAGTAAGTGGTGTTGCTTTCGATTTTTAGTTTGTGTTGTTTTCGGTGTTAAGGTAAGGGATCCATAAACTCTAAGTTATTCTGAACATTTTTACATATTAGAAACATATTACGTCAGGTTTTCAAAAGTTTGCTTGGTGTTATTTTTAGTATTTTACCCCACATTTTCCTCCCTCGACTCAATGCCCTGCCCATTTTAAACAAGTAACATTTATTTGTTGGTAATTTTATCGGTTAAAATACTCGAAAAATAAAAATTTCCGACAGAAACGCTATAAAGGTGTCCTAGAATTGGTAAATATTCATTCATTGACTGTCCTCAGGTTTTTGCTCGAGAATATTTTTTTCTGTGTTTTACTCAAATCTGACCTTCATTTATTTTGCGAATTAGCGGTTTTTGCAAAAAATTAGCATTTTCATTTTTTTACAGAAACAGCTAATTTGCACAAAAATGGAGGTCAAATTTGAGTAAAACACACCAAAAATACAAAAAATATATATATATTCTCGTACCAAAGGAACCAAACTACCTAACCTAACTCACAAGGAGGAGGAGGTAAGGAGATAACTCACTGAGGAGTATAACCTCAGGTAAACAAGGAGGGAACCTGCGGACAGCCAATGGACCAAAATTAACTCTAAAATTGTCTAAACTACTTATTCCAAAACTTAAAATCCTAAAGTTCGCTGGATGACTGAACGATAATACCACCTAACTTAACCATACGTCAACCTAACCTAATTTAAATAATAACATTGTTCGAGCACCAATATGTACTATGTATGACAACACAAGCAATATACTGTACTACTTTCTGGCCCTCGATCACATCAGGGCCAGAGGGTGTTGTGACACTGTTGTCTAAATGCTCTCTCACAGTCCAACACCCAACAAAGTGTTTCAAGAAAATCACCATCACTTACACAGGTCTACACTACAGGTCTACACTACAGACTACACAAATGAAAACATTAAGAGACAAAAGTAAAAAAAAAGTGAATTTATAACATTAACAAGATATTAAAATAATGACTATTATAACATCCACAACCTAACGTGACCGATTGCCCAATCGGCTGACGAGCCGAACAGTGGTGAAAAGGATAAAAGTAAAAAAGTAAATACTCAAGGAGACAGTAGTCGTCTATAAATAGCTACAATGACGTAACCTTAACCCATTGTTGTCTCTTTTCCTCATTAACATAATACCATGCAGGTTAACTGTGTTTCTTATGGTTAAACTCGAGTAGTTTGGGTATATTGTTAAGAGATTTAGTGAGGGGGAAATAGTTTCTTGTATCTGGTAAATGACGAATGTGTTATGCAACAGACCGAGCCAGTGTTTCATTCTGACCTTGACTTCGTTTTCGTATAACCGTGTGTAAGAATAACTCAATACTCTGGTTATCTTCTTGATTATGTTAATATCACCAGGAGTGATACTGGTGTGGGCAGAATGTTAATGAAAAATGTAAATGTTAATGATAATAGCAAGTAATATTAAGTCAGTATATAGTGTTCGGATTGAGTTTCCTTATAATTAATATGTGGAATAAGTTACCGTATACTGAGTTTTAATTTCATATAGTGATAGAATACATGTAATAATACTATAATTTTCTATGTAGAAAGTTGACAAACTAAACAATATAATTGAGGACAGTAGGAGCAGCAGCACCTGTCGTTGTACCGGTCAATGACTGACCTACTTCACTCTCTCTCTCCCTCAACACCCACCAAATTCACCACTGAGACACGAGCCACTACTCTTCACACCAGCAACCAGATTTAAGTTATTAATCATCGCCAATATGTATGATAGAAGGAAACTGACTGTAAGAGGAGAGAGGGTGTAGCTTGTAGGGTGAGGGCCGCCACCCTCACTCTACTCACCTGACTGTAAGGTCTCGTGCATCTCTGGCTGCCACATAACTTCACTAATGGATGATGAATTCCTTCAAATTTTCTCAATAACAAGAATCCTCTGGACGAAGACATTACTCCCGCGGCGGTAGCGTCTTCGTCCTCTTACGTCTGGCACCAACACCGTCACTATTACCAACTCTCGTATTCCAAAATTCGCTAAACTAAATGATCAAACTCGCTATCCTTTGCTGGCTACAGCTACGGCATTGTCAGGTTTATTTATATGAATAAAAAGATCTACTTCATCTCCAATATTTTCACCTTAGATAATTATAAAATTTACTCAAATCAATCCAAACGGTTTGTAAGGGGATCCGCAAACTCGCTAGACATGGTATTTATTACACTAAGTTGACAACACTGAAATGAGAGGCTACTGCTTAAAGTGAGTCTCTCACCTCAACTGTGATTGGTCGACGCCATGCAGCGTGACGTCACATAAGCCAGTAGCCAATAAGGACAACCAAAGTGTTTTTATGAATGATGGTAAAATTTTACAATAAATATGCAGAATAGTTATGAAAATGTTGACTATAAAATATATTTATATCCCTTCAACGCTTATCTCATATAATTTCAGTATTCAGTGATGACAAGACTTATTGACTTACTTTTACTTTTAACCTCTTCACCACTGATCGGCTCATTAGCAACTTGGGCAATCGGTCACGTCTCTGTTACGCACTGTTGGCATGCACTGGCTTCTGACTGTATCTGAACCTGCTCCAGTGCTTATCCAGTCTGGTCTTGAAAGAACTCACACTCGGTCCGTCACAACACTCTGGCAAATTGTTCCAAAAGTTTACAACTCTCACTCCGAAAAAGTTACCCCTCACAGCCTTCTGGGCTTGCGGTTTCTTCTATCTTGAGCTGTGACCTCTTGTTAGGCGAGCATCCGCCAGCTCCAGGTAAGGGCACTCGACTGAGTAGTGCCCTTTGAGATGCTTGTATACCTCAAGTAGATCTTCCCTTGCCCGTCTGCAGTACAGTATAAGCTAAGCAATTTCAGGTGCTCCAATCTCTCTGGGTAGCTGAGATGCCATATTGCAGGCACCAGTCTGGTGGCCCTCCTTTGGACATTTTCAATCAACTAACAGTCCCTAGCATATCTCGGGGACCAGACGGGGTGACAGTACTCCAGGCGGGCAAGCACTTCACTCTTGAAGATCGTTACGAAGTAAGGACCATCTAAATATCTGAACGACCTTCTTATAAGATTAATAATTTTGTTGCATGATAAGAGAGAGAAGTTTGAAACACTACTGAAGGTACACCAACCCGATATTGTAGGAGTTTTAGAACTGTTGTACAAAAACAGGAGAATCGACCCAGAGGAATGTGAGTTCAGTATTGCTGGATATGACTGATTTACGACCCTTTCTCAAGAAATTTGCAAGAGGGGTGTGGTTATCTATGCTAGGCAAGACCTTAGAGCCAGCCAGGCGAGGGTACAGGGAAAGGATGTTTTTTTAAGAATCCAAGAGTGTAAAATTAAATTAAAGGGAGGGGACTTACTAATTGTCGGGTGTATATACAGATCCCCAAACTGTAGCCCACTAAACCAAAGGAACTTAAGAGACTTGATAGACAACACGGCGATGATCAACCCTAGCCACCTCCTTATCATGGGGGACTTTAACTATGGCGACATCGACTGGAGAAACGAGTTCACCCCCAAATGACTTGAATAACCCTGCTACTCTTTTTGTAGAAACTCTTGGAGATAATTTTCGGTCCCAACATGTTAGAGACCCAACACATTACAGAAGGGAGTAAACACCCAAGCACCCAAGCCACTAGACCTCATCATAACAAACGAGAAGGGTATGGTGGCCAAACTGGAACACCTTGCCCCAGTTGGCACCAGTCACTATATAGTGTTGTCATTCAGATGTAACTGTTACCTAGTTCAAGATAATGCCAGGCCAAGGTGCAAATATTACAAGGGAAATTACAAAGGGATGAGGGGTATCAACTGGCCTGACTCATTAAGGCACAAGAACGCAGACACTACGCTCAATATCATAACTAGTAAAGTGACCCATTTGATTGATAAATATATACCCAAGACCAAACCCAGTGCCTCTTGGAATACGAGGTGTTCCCTGCACATTAACCATGCGGCGGTCAACAAAGTTAAGAAGAAAACCCAGAAATTCAAGACGTGGGTTGGGTCAAAGGATGAGCAGGACAGGAGGATGTATGCAAGAGCCAGAAACCAAGCAAAGGCAGAATGTAGAAGGGCTGAAAAGGAGTTCCAGAGGCTGGTTGCAAGTGAGGTCAAGTCAAACCCAAAGGTGTTTTACCGCTATGCAAAGTCAAAATTGAAAACGCGAGTAGGAGTATCAGACCCAGTGCCAGATTAACCATGAGGCACTTGAGGCACTGGCCTCAGGCCCCCCGACTCTAAGGGGCCCCCAAATCCAAACATTCTCGAAGTTGAAGCATATAAAACATGAACTTCGTTCAACGATGTCCTAGCAAAGTCTCAATTTTCTGTCTCTTATGAACATTAAATGTGTTATTTTGCAGAAGCTTAATATTGATGAAATCATTGATAAATTTGGGTATATTTTGTTCTTGTTATTTATATATACCTTGAGGGTAGGGGGCCCCAAGTTGATCTGTGCCTCAGGCCCCTATTAAGCTTAATCCGGCCCTGATCAGACCTGAGGTTTGAAGATGGTAGTTACGCAGATTCTGACCAGGATAAAGCTGAGGCATTGAACAGCTTCTTTTCCTCGGTGTTCACAAGAGAGGATGCGATTAACCTTCCTGCATTTGAGGACAGACGGTTCGACACAGCACTGGCCCACATTGTGTTCACACAAGAGGGTATTAGAAATGAACTGTCAAAGCTAAAGGTCCATAAGAGTCCCGGCCTGGACATGGTGCATCCTAGAGTGCTAAGAGAGTTGTGCAACGAGCTTGCCGAGCTCCTGAAGATCCTATTTTGTAAATGCCTGGATGAACAAAAAGGTCCCCATTGAATGGAAAGTGGCTTATGTGAGTCTGAGTCCTATCTTCAAGAAGGGCGATAGTCACTCCACGAACAACTATAGACTGGTGAGCCTGACCAGCATAATATGTAAAGGACTTGAGAGTATTATCAGAGATGCCGCGATGGAACATCTACGAAACAACCTTGTAAAGGATTGCCAACACGGTTTTATGCCGGGGTGCTCCTGCTTAACACATATGCTCAAGTTATTGGATATTTGGACCCATATTCTGCAATAGGGTGATAATATCGACATACCAAGAGTTTGCCAAGGCTTTCGAAAGTTTACCCAACGGAAGGCTGAAAATCAAACTGGAAGGGTATGGAATTTGGGGAAATGTCCTCGTGTGGATAGAAGACTTTCTACATGACCGCAAGCAGTAAGTGGTGATTAATGGCACGAAATCATCGTCTGTTCC